TTTAAATGAATAACTCAAAAGTTATACCATTAACTGGTCTCATTAGCTAAATAAAACCTTAAATGAATAAGTCTACGTCCCATCAGCTTCCTTCAATCTGCCAGGTTCATTATGTCTGTTGGAAAGAGACTGATATTTTGCAGCCTCTTAAACAGGTTTTCTAGACCTAGGTACAATGATACGGGGCCACCAAACAGCTGGAGAAAATTATATATTAAGGATTTTGAGCAATGAAGAGTCAGTTAAATTTTGACTTAAGAATGACCTTTGTTATTCCACATCAAAACTAAGGACAGAATCAGAAAAATATCCGAAGAAGGAGTTGAGAACAAAAATTAATTAGGAACGGGTTTAGTCTTCACCTCCATACATGTTATATTCTCTGGAATAACCCATCGTTTGTGAGCCAAATGCTTGTTTATAGTCACTTGAGCTGGTTTGTTCCTCGGGGCAGAGGAGGAGTTAAAGGGCTTTCATACCGGCATATATTAACAAGTCATCAACTTAGAACGCATCTTATTGACGTAACTACAAACTCTCTGCCTGGGAGGTTTTATCAGGTTCGCTGGATGGATTTCAATAAAGATCTGGATGTACCTAAAAAGGATCTGGGTGCCTTGTTTTTGGCAAAACTGGATATTCTGATCTAGAATAGCTAATATGCAGAGTATTAATAGCTTGTGGTGCGAAGAAGGAATATTTCCTCCCTTTTGGTAGCACAATTATAAATTGCCTAATGTTTCTTGGCTTCATTTGGATCAGCAGCAGCAACTGGAATATGTGGGAAATAGAACTGGATGGACCGGTATCTTTTCATCATAGTACTATGTTTTGGTTACAGTTTATTCAGCCTCTGTCTGATTGTGCTGTTTGTATCACTGAGTAACCCACATGTGGCAGCCCGTGGCCCTTAAAGGCTGTATTTAAGGCCTGGTCAGGTTTTTCAAATAGAGCATGCATGGATTTACACATTTTATGTGTCCTTCAAGTTCACAATAATAGTGTATCAAAGCTTGGCCAGCTGAGCACCATGTGAGTTATGGTTTTACAACAGCTCTTTAATACCAGGGTTTTTCTTTTGTTTTTTTTTCTTAAAGTATAATTGATCTGGAATATCCGCTTTTTAGGGATTCAACGTGTCTGGGGTTTCAGAGTACCGTCTGATTAGCATCACTAATCAGTTTATTTTATGAACGCTACAACCTTATTGGTGTGGACATATTTGGTTTATAGCAAGCATGCCAAACTCAAAGGCTAACACAGGCCAAATAAACCAGGTTTAATTTCATGTGGGCCACAATAAAAACAAAAACGTCAGTTTCATTGAAACGAAGGTTTATTTAGAAAAAAACGGTATAAAAAAAGTTGCCTAACTGACACTGGATGTCCTCGCGCTTGAAGGGCTTCAAAGTTAACAAAAGAGCAAATTTATTTTAAGGAGAGGTGCATTTGAATATAACCAATGTTTCAGTCCAACCACCTTGACATTTTAAGAAAAGCTTGGTAATGGGACTGAAATGGTGAATGTGTACTGTTGCACAGCTGTAAAAAAACAAATTATCTTGTTTTTGAAATCCTATGAGTGTGTTCTTCATTTTTGCTGAGGTCATCAAACTTGATGATCTCGGCCAATCCAATGCTTTCCCACAGGAAAGCATTGGGAGGCTATTGTGCATGTGTGGCAAAAAGCTGCACGGCCAATCAGCATCTCAATTGGGAGCATTCAGCACCTCCATGAAGACCCAATCTCAAACACTGCCCACAAATCCAATACATTGCCCCCAAATCAAATACACTACCTTCACTCTTATACACTGGCCCCTCCACCCAATTTACACTTCCCCTTATTCATCTAACACACTGCCCCCTCCCCCAATTTAATTATGCTGCCTGCACCCCAATTAATTACACCCCCCCACCACTTTAATACACTGCCCTTCCCCAATTTATCACACTACCCCTCCCCAAATTAATACATTTCTCTCCCCCCAATTTAAAATTTTGCGCCCCCTCTAATACACTCCCTCCCCCAAATTAATAAATTGCCCTCCGCCCAATTTAACACATTGCCCCCCCCTCCCTCTCACCACTCTAATACACTGCCTCACTCCCTCAAATTTAATACACTGGCCCCCTCCATCCCCCAAATTAATACATTGCCCTTCTTCCTCAAATTAATACACTGCCCACTCCCTCCCCCAATTTTAGACACTGCCCCTCTCCCCAAATTTGACACACTACACATGAAGGTCCACCAAGCCCCTCTTCCCCTACCTTAAGATGAGCAGCCCGTCCCCCAGTTCCAGCTCTGCTCTTCTCTGCTCAAGCAGGCTAGACGCTCCTCTGGCACTGCGAGCAGAAGGGGAGACAGCCAGCCACTCTGTGCTCTTGCGGCCACGGTCGGCCATGGGAGGGAAGGCAAGAATCAGACAGGAGATATCTTTCCTGTCTTGCGGCTGGTCGCAGCCACAGCACAAAGTGGCCCCAGGGCAGGTGGGCCGCAAATGTATTCATTGTGGGCCGCAAGTTTGACACGCTTGGTTTACAGTTTCAGTAGTCACCTTAGAGAGAGATCCATTGCGGAACAATATCTGGGGCAAGAATATAAATTCCATGCATGATAGATAGAGAATGTGAATAGGAATATAGAAAATGTAAACTATGCCATGTCTAATCTGCCGGCCGTATAAAAATGGCAGCAGGTATTCTGAGATGTTTCAGATTATTTGCAGTGATTTATATAGTCTTTACATAGATATTTTAGGTGGTGACTGTAGCTAAAGGTCAGATTTCAAAACTGTCTGCATGGCTACTTAACCCTGTGTCTGCCATGCGAGATACCTGTACTGAGAATTTTTTTCAGATCCGTGTTTCTCTAGATAAGCTTTCCTGCTCTCTGTGGTGGTCCTGCTGTTCTGTGTTCATAAAGATAGTAGTATGTGTAAATGTTAAATAGGTTTACATTCTGTGCTGTCTCCCGGGAGTTTGCAGGGAATTACAGCCCAGCGTTGCGGTAATGACCAGATTAATGTGCGTTCAGGGTCCGTGACTCTGTGGGGGCCTCAATCTGACAAAGGCAAGATATCCTGCAGGTGTCTGCCCAGATGGGGATAATAATAGGGATTTGTGAGATTGCCTTCACTGAGGTGGTCCATTTCTTCCAGTTATGCTAGCATATGCCATCATGTGCACTTTCTGGCTCTCTTTGTTATCACGTTTGTGTGCATGTTAGATAAACTATTCATCATTTTTCGATTCAGCGTTTATTGCATAGGGAGTACGTGTGTAGTTTGTCTCCCCTACTCCATTCATTGTAAACATGCACAATAAACAAACTTGCTTTTGTATACTGTTGCATGTGAATTAGCTAATGCATGACCAGGTAGTGATAGCCTGAGATGCAGACCTGGTCTATACTGACGCAGTATACGGACTGCGATTCCAAGTCACGCAGTATTGTTTAACTGTACAGGCCCATTTATTCTAATATGTAGCGTTATGTTTTTTCCCGTCATGTTTCAAGAAACAGCCCACATATTGACCAATGTTGTTTGTTTTTTCTCTACTTTTATTATAGTAATTCACAAGACCTAATTGATGTAAAAGAGGTTTATGGGAGTTGTATTTTCTACTACAGAAAGCTTACAGCTAAAGTACAACCCCCAGAAATTCTGCAGTGCTCCTCCCGGCATGATGCTAACGGCATCATAGGAAAGAAAAGGCAAAACCTTAAGATTAAAGGGGGTGTGGGGTGAGACTCAAAATAAGCCGTTATTTAAAAAAAACAAAAGACCACTTAGAACGAAAACCTATATGCTAACCTATACATTGTGTGTAGTAATGTATGTATGAACGACGTGTCCAGTTACATAGATTACATGATCAGTGGGATTAAGATATCTATAATAACCTTGTTTAGCCGCTGTGATTAATACACACTCCACTTGCAGGCCAGGTAAGGTGATTTGCTGTCTCCTTGATGGTGTGTATGGATATTGTGGGTCTGTCACCTAAAACTTGCCTTTCTCCTGTTCTACTTTTCTGATATGTCTTTTTAAAACATAAGACAAAATAGGGACTACTTTGTCTTATGCATTTTTCCTATGCTTGACAATCTTGACAAAGGGTGGAGCTTAAAAGGGCACTATAGGCATCAAAACATCTCTACAGGGCCGGAGATTAAAATTTCCAAAGCAAGTTACCATCTGATGGAAATTTAAATTTTTCATGCAGGCTGTGTGAGTTTCAGCTAGGAGAGATGTGGCTAGTATTTCATGGACAGAAACAAAAGTGATTTAACTCCTAAATGTCAGAGAATTGGCATGATCTATACACAAACACTGCTTCATTACGCTAAAGTTGTTTTGGTGCCTATAGTGTCTCTTTAAGACAATCAACACTATCTTGACAAAGGGTGGAGTCTGCCTTATTCCTTAAAAGCCACCCTTTGTCAAGATTGTCAATTGTAGGAAAAATTTATAGGACAAGGTAGTCCTTACTTTGTGTTATTTTTTTAATGAGAAAAAAAAAAAAAAAAAAAAATATATATATATATATAAAAAGAACAGATTCTGGAAGAGTAAGAGAAGAAACAATAAGAGAAAGGTAAGTTTGAGGTGACTGTGCCACTTTTATTGAAAACCTGGTTGGGTAATAGACAAATATTGCACTGAATGTCAATTGACCTGCTTTGCATCATTTCAGCTAACTTGGATTTATTAGACTAATGGCAAAACAAATCAAAATAATATGGGTCATATTAGGAGTACTATTGTTTGTTATTTTTCCTATTAATTATTTTTCTCATTCTCTGTTAAAATACGTGAATAAATCTCTAACAAGGATTGCGCAACAACTGCAATCACAAGCAATCTTCTGATAGATATAGGATATGTCCATAGTTTTGACATGGCTGTGAGCAGAGGAATGCGTTTTTGCAGAGATATCTCCTAATCAAATCTGGATCGTTATATTTACACATGACATCTTTTATTGGGACGGGCCTGTGAGCTTCGTTGATGTCTGACTCTAAGCCTGTTTGATTCTGCAACAATATTGGCGTTTGTGATCGAGACATGGTGCGGTGACCACTAACGTGCATGGACAGTGTATAACTAAGCTGGCAGGGTCCTGATATTTCTGCCAGGAATATTTACTAAAGTAAGAGTAAAGTTGGGCACACAGAGTTAATTTAAATTGAATTTCAAATTCCAGGCCAAAGTAGCAGAGCTAGAAGTATAGCTGAATTTTTCGGTTCAGCTGCTTTGGCTTCAAACTTAAAAAGCACTTTGAATAATCGTTCCTGTTTTATTTGGGTGATCGTTTTTGAGATGGAATTCTAGGCTAAAATAGTTCAACTGAAAAAGAAAAGCACAAAAACACTCCTTTTAGATAAAATAAATAGCGATTTCTTTTTTAGACCAAAACAGTCAAACTGTGACAAAATAAATCTTTGTATTCCTTCAGGGTAAAATGAGCAATTAACTAGTGAATAACTAATAACGCAGGAATGCGTCACCGTTGTCCCACTGAGGAACACGTCCTTTTTATAGATTTTTTTTGTTCCTGTGAATTAGATGAGAATTTGTGATGGATGATATTTACTGTTGGCCCTATAAAATACATTTCAATTTCTTGCAAATAAGAAGCATGTCTATGAATGACCTACGGGTTCACAAGATTCATGTTAAATTTAAATCTATATCATCTCCCAGTAAGCATGATCTGTGTCATATGAGCCTTGCTGCTGCTAACGCATTTATATGGAGGAGAAATATTGTTACCAATAACGTAGTGCTAACATGTGGCAGCGCGTTATAATTATAGAAAGGGAAAGAGGTAAAGATGGCCCTGCTCAGACAATCTGAGGAATTGAGGTGGACCGATGTATATTGTTAGGTGTCTTACCCAGGGACACTTACTGGTGAGGTAGTGTGACAGGTCTTCGAACCTGGGGCTAAACAAAAACACATTTTCATATAGGAGATTGGCATGTTTTATTGTCCAGCAGCAGCAATCTCTCAAAGCTGTGAATTTCACCTACAGCAAATCATTGTTAGTTTGTTAGCTCTCCAATAAATCTCACACCAAACTTGGAACATGCGTGTTAATCCATTAAAGACGTTTGTGTGTAGGTTAGTGGAAATCACTTATTTAGGTACACAGGAATCTTTACCATATCAGGAATTGTGGAGGAATGATTAACTTGGAAGTTGTTGGGTACAAATATAGTGATGACATTTGATGAAAGGGGGGGGACAGGTTTATAAAGTTTAGGCATTAGAATGTGTTATGTCCAGTGTCAAGCAAAGAAAGTAGGGCCAACGAGCCGTTTAACCCCTTGGGAGCCAGAGGGCTGAGCAATATGTTAACTTTCTGGTTTTACGTCTGTCTGTCCATAGAGCTTTCTGCATCATTACATTTTTTTATTTATTTTTTTCGCTTGTATGCTATGGAAGGAGCAAACTATATAAAACATAGGATATGACCTCACTAACCAGCAATTGTGGCTGTCAGTATGTCTTATCACTAGTGTTTACGTATTACTTTTGTTTCCTGTTATAGATCCTTAAGTGTTTTTGGCCCAGTTTGCGTCTTCATTATGGTGAAACCCTGAAAAATTAAATTTGAATTCACACAAACATGAAATTCTCTTTATAGAAAATAAAAAATGTAACAGGAAGCAGTCAGTTCCCACACTGCTCTATACAGCTGGCACCCCCTATCATACTTGAAAAACCAATCAGTTGTTCCCAACCTCAAATGCTGTAAGGTATCCATAAGGCAGAGTCAGTGACACGCTGGGATCATGGGAGTTTTAATTGGTCCGTAGTCTTTGGGCACTTTAGTGACAAGGGAGACTTGGTTTTAAGGAACTTGAACAGTGATGTGTCAATCATTGATCGTGTTAACTCTGTATATCTGCTTTTTTCAGAGTGGACAATATGCAAAGTATGGCTTGTTGATTGCAGTGTGCCCACATAGGTTTACTTGCATAATGTAAGATTATGATCATTGCTCATTCAAAAGGAATTTCACATTTAGACTTAAATAGCTGAAGTGGAAGTGTAGATCACTTAGATAATTCCAGTTCAGCTATTTTGGTCTGCAATTGTAAAATTCACTTTGAATTCCCAACAAGTCTCACTTCAGTAAATAACCTTGATAGTGTGTGCAGGTGTCCCCTTCTCTCTCCATCAGGTCATCAGATAATTAGATTAAAGAGGCTGGAGTCTAATCAATCCTCTCATTAATCTTGTTATTATCACAATCTATGTATGGACTTCCTGCTCTTTTATTTAGGCTAAAATATTCTTTTTCAATCTCTTATGGTATGTGGTGGGAGTCAAAATGTTTTAATTACAATTAGTCTAAAACAAGATGATGTAAATAGTGCTATTAATTAAATCAGTGTTCTTTTGAAAGGTAGTAAATGGCAAAGGCGCTGTATTTCACCCGCTTTGGATAAATGCCTTTACAATGGGGCCCCCAGCTTCCGCCGCTGTAAGATTCAGAAAGCCTTGCTCCCTTCCCTCTAAGATGGCAGTGAAGAGGCAGGCTCCAGGATCTGTTTTCACTCTATCAAGCATGCTCACAGCTCCCTCGTCTTACATGGAGCTTTGTGGACCCATTGTAGGCCTCCGCAGCTCTGGAAGTGAAATCAAGCCATGATGGCTTAGTAGATGACCCTGTGACGTTGCTGTCTGGCTTTCACACTGTATCTTTGTAGATCCATTTATAGACGGCCAGCACTACTTTCTACATAGTGATTTCCCCCCCATGCCTTTTGTATTGGAAAACTGCAACTAGTGTTATGATCCAGATGGAAAAAAAAAAAAATTATTTTTTCTTTTCTGCAACAATTCGCATTTTTTTAAAGGGAGCAGACTATTGTTTTTTTTTTTTTTCCTTTTCATACTTTTTGTGTGTGGACATTTACCCCATTTAGCAGGTTTAATATTGAGATCAGAGGCTTCCGTTTATTCTAACGCAGGGCTTCTCAAACTTTTATGGGCCGAGAACCACTTTTCAAAACTGTAATTTTTCGAGACCCACTTGCTTTTTTTTTTTTTTTCAATTCTTTATTTTTAGTGTGTCGTTGCAATACATCGTAGTCACAAAATGAACATTTCACATTACATACTTTCTGACATGGATACAGGTACTGTAGATAGTGATGTCGCGAACGGTTCGCCACGGACTCATCATTGAGTAAACTTTGACCCTGTACCTCACAGTCAGCAGACACATTCCAGCCAATCAGCAGCAGACCCTCCCTCCCAGACCCTCCACCTCCTGGACAGCTCACTAAGAATGCAGCTTCACAATGAATGTAAAATGGATGCTGTCCAGGAGGTGGGAGGGTCTGCTGCTGATTGGCTGGAATGTGTCTGCTGACTGTCAGGTACAGGGTCAAAGTTTACTCAATGATGAGTCCGCGGCGATCCGTTCGGGACATCACTAAGTCTGTAGACATTGTATGCCCCTATTGTGTAACTCCTTGTCTCTCGTGTGGGTTCATTTGCATATTGATGATACCCTTTTTTTTTTTTTTTTAAACCGTCCTCATTATCTCTCATTTAGAGTTGCAGATACAGTTTTGTTTGTGAGCTGAAGACACTCGCTTCAACAATGGCCCACTTGCTTTTAATGCAGATTTTAAAACACCATGAACACCATGGCAATCAGCTTTAGAGACATACAATTGGCACACCATAGCAATCCGCTTCAGATGCACACAATTGACACATTGTGGCAATCAGTTTCAGAGGCATACAATTGGCACACCATGGAAATCCGCTTTACAGGCATACAATTGGCATACCATGGCAATCCACTTTAGATGCATACAATTGGCATACCATGGCAATCAGCTTTAGATGCTTAAAATTGGCACACCATGGCAATTGGTTTTAGAGACTTACAATTGGCACACCATGGCAACCAGCTTTAGAGGCAAAAAATTTAAACATCATGGCAATCCGTTTTAGATGCATAAAATTGGTACATCATCGCAATCCGTTTTAGATGTATAAACTTGGCACATAATGGCAACTTTAGGTGCATAAAATTGGCACACCATGGCAATCAGTTTTAGAGACTTACAATTGGCACACCATGGCAACAAGCTTTAGAGGCATAAAATTGGCACACCATGGCAATTGGTTTTAGAGACTTACAATTGGCACACCATGGCAACCAACTTTAGAGGCAAAAAATTGGAACATCATGGCAGCTTTAAATACATAAATTTGGCACACCATGCCAATCCGCTTTAGATGCATAAACTTGGCATATCATGGCAATCACTTTTAGATGCATAAACGAGGCAGATCATGGCAATCCGCTTCAGAGGCATATAATTGGCACACCTTGAAAATCAGCTTTAGATGCATAAAATTGGCATAACATGGCAGTTTTAGAGGCATAATTGTGGGATATCATGGCAGTTTAAGAGGCAGAAACTTTGCACATCACGGCAATCAGTTTTAGAGACATACAACTGCTTACTCACAGACTCCGTATCAGAAGTGCTATTGTCCTGCTCTTTCATCCAGGCACCTCATGTTGATTGTCCCAGAGAGGGCCCTGGTGCAAGTATATTTTCTGGGCCCCTGTTTAGTCCAAGTGTGGCCAAAAGGTAGATCTCCATCTGTTGGAGAACTTCAACAATGCTATGCCTGATGGGGATCTACCATTTGCGTTTCATTGCGGGGTTATATTTGTGTGTAGTGTTGGTGTTTAAATGAAGGGGTGTTTGTAGATAATTTTAGTTTTTAATGCAGAGGTGTGTTTGTATGTAATGTTTGCTTTTGATTGCTGTGTGTGTGTGTAGTGGATGCAGTGTGTATATTGTGTTTATAAAATATACATATACACAATGTGTGTTTGAATGTAAGCATGTTTTTTTGTATGGAGTATGTGTGCAGTGTATACACAGACACACAAATACACACAATGACACCTAGTTTCCCACACACAGATACACAGACACTCATGTACACAGATACACACTGACACACAAAAACACAGACACACAAATACACACACACTGATACAAAACGACACACAGAGACGGTTACAGTGGGGGGAAAGGGCAGGGAGTGAAGGGGTTACAGTGGGGGAGGGAGCTAAGAGTGAAGGAGTTACATTGGGGGGCAGGGAGTGAAGGGGGTTACATTGTGGGGAGGAGGGCGGGGAGTGAAGGGGTTGCAGTGTGTGGGGGGAGCAGGAAGT